ATAGAATTCAGTAAATTAGTTGGGATAAAGATCTAGTATAGTATTAAGTAATAGTTTCCTAGTTTTATAATATTTCTATAATAATAATAATAATAATAATAATAATAATAATAATAATAATAATAATAATAATAATAATAATAATAATAATAATAATAATAATAATAATAATTAATAATAATAATAATAATAATAATAATAATAATAATAATAATAATAATAATAATAATAATAATAATAATAATAATAATAATAATAATAATATATTAGAACCTCTATAAAACCTATAATATTAGCTAGACTATATAAAAAATAATACTTGCCCGGAATTATATAAAAATAATAATAAATCCTTCTAAGTTATATATTAAAAGTACTTGCCTTTAATATATAATATCTATATATAAGATACTAGTTTATTCAAGAATTTAAAAGAAAAATAGTATAGATTAATGGCTTTTATAAAGTTCAGAGACAAGCTTATTTCAAAAAAAAAAGAAATATTATAATTCAGCTTTTAACCTTATTAGCTAATATAATTACCTAATAGTTACTTATATTCTATTACCTATATTTTATTACTTATATCCCGTTACTTTCTAGACATATATAATATAGTTATCTTACTAGAGAAATATACTTGAAATATACTAGAAATATTTAAAAGGCTAAGCCTTTTATAAACTAGTATACTATAGGATATATATACTTCCTTATAGCCTCCTATATTCTAGTTTTCCTTTTTTTTAGCTTTGAATTATCTTTATAAGAAATCTTTTACCTTACTTTTTAAGCCCTAAATACTATACCCGTAATAATAATAATAATAATAATAAAATAAAAGCAAATAATACTTTTAAATTTAATTTATTAAAAATAAACTAGTTTAATTATAAGTTAAATTTTAAATAATTTCGAAATTATAATATTATTAATATATATATTATATATATTCTAGTTTATATACTTTTATTTTTGGTTTTAAGTAATTAAAAAAGAAAAAAATGCCTTATAATCTTTTTAATTTTTTAATAAAATATTAAAATTCTAATTTTAAGTAATTTAAAAAAAATAAAAAGTAAAAAATTATTATAAATATAATATCTAGGGCTTAAAAAGTAAAATAGAAGATCTCTTATAAAGACGATTTAAAGTTAAAGAAAAGAAAGCTAGAATATAAAAGGTTATAAAAATATAAATATATATCTTATAATATACTAGCCTATAAGGGGCTTAGTTTTCTAAATATCTTTATATATATTTCAAGTATATTTCTTTAGTAATATAGCCGTATTATATATATAGTTATATAACTTAAAGGTAACCGGAGGCAATAAATATAGGTAATACTAGTTAGATAACTAGATTAAAAGTTGAATTATAATAAAAATAATAAGTTTTTATTTTATTTTTAATAAAAGTTTATAAAGGTTATAAAAACTTAAAGAAAAAGTTTATTAATTATTTTTTTATTAAAACCCGAAAGCTTTTTTTAAAAAGAATTAATTATAAAAAAAAGAAATAATATTAAAAAGTACTTAAATATTCTAATTAGTAAATATATATATAAGTAATTTAAGGCTTTATATTTCTTATAATTTATTTCTTTTTTCAAGTTTTAATTAATTAAAATTATTAAAATTATTTCTTAATTTATTAACTTATAATAATAATAATAATTTTTAATAAGTATTTATTATTTTATATTACTTCTTTATTTACTTAAATACTTAATTTAAAATTACTAAAAATTTAATAAGCTTCTCTTATTTCTATTTTATTTTTATTTCTAGAAATAATAAAAGTTATTACTTTTAAGAACTGCGGGATTTTTTTAAAAAAAAGTTTTTAAGTAAAAAATAAATTACTTTAATTATTTAATTTCTTATTTTTATATTATAAGATATATATATTTTAGTTACTTTACTTTTAATTTAAGTTTTTATTCTTTATATATCCTTAACTTCTTTACTTATTTATTACTTTATAATTTCTTATTTTACTAAATTATTTACTTTTTGTTATTACTTTTAATTTTTTTATTATTATAATTACTTTTTAATCCTTATAAGTTTAATTAGTTTATATATTACTAAGCTTATATAATATTATAATTATATTTATAAAAATTTATATTTTTTATAATATAACTAAAATTATTAAAAAATTAAAGTAATATTAATAATATATTAATATATAAGCCGAAATTTATTACTTAAAATTTATTATTTATTTTATTTAATATTAAGTAAATTATATTTATAAGCTTTTGAATTATTATTATTTAATTTAAAAAGCTAAAGAATTAAAGTTATATATATAATATAAGAAAATTTAAGTAAAAATTTAAATAAAAATTTATTATTATAATTATTAATAATATTTCTTTAATTAACTTTAATTATTTATATAAGTCCTTTATTTTTTATATAATAAGTTCCTTATTTCTTCTTATAATATAACTTATTTTTATTAATATTTCTCTTAATACTAAACTTTTTATTATAACTAAAATAAAGCTTTCTTAACTTTATTAAATAAATAAAAATAACCTTAAATATATAAAGTATAAATAAAGTTAAAAAAAGAAATTAAAAGCAAAAATTAAACTTTACTTATAATAATAACTTTTGTTTTAATTATAATTCTTTATTTAATAATAGGTCTAATTTTAATACTAATATTAAAGTTATAAATATTAAGTAAATAATTTAATAATTTAAAGAAAAAAGAATTATATTATTTAATTCTTATAATAAAAATAAAGTTATAAGAAAAATAAAATTCTTATTTTAAAAATAATTATTTTCATATAAATAATAATTATATTTTAATAAGTTTTGCGATTTTATAATTTAATAATTAAAAAAAAAAAAATCTAAACTTACTTTTTATTAAAATAATACAAGATTTATATAAAGCCCTTAAAATATATAAATTTAATTACTTTAAAATACATATTTTTTAATAAATAAAGTACTTATAAATTGAAAAAGAGTTTTTTATTATTATATATTAAAAAGATTTTTAATATAATATATATATAATTAGCAAAAAAGAAAATTTTAAAAGAACTATATTATATAATATATATAATATATTTTACTTATTTTTATTTTTTTAAGTTATTATATTTATTTTATAATAATAAATTTTACAAGTTTTAATATTAGTATTTAGCTTTAATAATTTTAGAAAAAAGAAAAGTTAAGACTTTTTATTAAGGATTTATATTAACTTTAAAATATTTATTAAATATATAATATAAAAGTATTTATTTATAAATAACTAAGAATTCAGTTTTTTAAAAAAAAATGTTTTTATTAATTATATTATTATTTAATTTAAAGCTTTTATTAAACTTTAATATAAAAATATTAAGTTTTAATTATTTTTGCCTCAATGTAAAAATCAATTACTTATTATTATTATAAAGCTTATTTTATTATTATTAAGTCAGACTAGAATTTGACTTTATAGTAATTTAAGAAATATAACTAAGTTTTAATATAATTCTATAGCCCATATAATACTTATAATAAAAATCTTTTAATTATTTAATTAACTTTATTAAAGATAATTAACTAGATAAAATAATAAAAATAATATTATTTTTATTAATAAATAATAGCTTTTACCCCAAATAGAAACTTTTTAACTAGTTCCCGAAACCTTCTTTATAGCTACTATATTTACTACCTAAATAATCTAACTTTATTCTTTATTTATAGTCTTATTATCTTTATAATACTCTTTTTTTATTATAGATTCCAGTAATAAAGTATTAGATTATTATTTATAGAATCTTCTTTTTTAATATTACTTTAATAATTTACCTAAATATAAGATAATAATTTCGGGCAAATAATCTTTAAATCTGCTCTTATCTAATATTACATTTAATATCTTTTAATAAGATATATATTTCGGCTTTTAAACCTCTATATTAATACTATAGAATTCTTTTACTCTCGGTTTACTATTAGATCTTCTCGGCCTTATTACTTTTATTCTATATCCCAAAAATATATTACTTATAATAATAGAATAAAAGATAGCTATTTAGTAATATATATTATAATATAAAATAATTAAGGCATTTAAGTAGTAGTTTTCTATAATCTTTTTATAAGCTAGATATATTTTATATATTAAATAAGTCTTCTTCTTCTATATTATTCTATATTCGAACTACTTTAAGCGGTTGGCTTTCGGGGCTCCTTGAAAAAAAACTTTTATATAATAAATACTAAAAATCTCTCTCTTCTAGAAAATCGCGTATTGGAATATAATTATATCCAAATCCTTAGAGCTTAGCTTGGGATTATAGAGAGAAAGCTCGAGTATCTTTCTTTATATTTTAGTAGTTCTAAGATATAAGGGGCTTTTATTACGATTTTTTAAAGTTCGGGAAGGAATTCTTAAGGCTCTCGCTAGCTTTAAGTATACTAAAAAAAAACCTGGCCTTATATTACTCTCCTTTTCTTCTTCTCTTTATACTCTCTCTTTTACTTTCTTTTAATAATAGATAATTCCAAGACCTGCTTATTATATACTAGATACTTGCTACTTTTAGCCTTTCCTTGCAGGCCTATAGGCGCTATCCGTAAGACCTATACGGCCTATATAGTCCGTATTTCTCTTCTTTATCCTTAATTCATTTAACTAGTTTCTAGAAGCGGCAATATATCCGAACTACTAGTCAGTGCCCTGCCTTATAAGAACTTAATCCAAATACTTTCCCTATCTCCCGATAATAATAATAGTTAATTACGGATATCTCTGCGGACGAGCCAGTCCTATAGCACTAGTAACGGATCCATTAACTATCCGTTATAGTTCCAGTTAATATTATAGAGGACCCTTCTGCCAACTCACCTACTATATAGCCTTCTGCCTTCCTCTTCTGCTTCCGGCCAGCTTCTATATATATAACTGGTCCGCTTATAGGTTACTATATAGCTTATAAAGCCCTCTATTTTGGTTATATAAATAATTGCTTTAAGGCCTGTTATAAGAAGAGTAATATAATACTTCCTCTAATCCGCAAGTCTTCTTTATATCTCTTTTACTTCTTTATAGGCAATAACCTATTTTACCGGGCCTTCCGGACAAATATCCGGATATATAATTATACTTTTGTTTTTATATTAGTTAAGTATAAGAAGAATATATAAATTAACTTCTTCTATAGAATTTAGTACTTTTAGATCTATAGCAAGCTCTTCTACTTTCAAGGCCTATTATAGTCTGCTTTATATACCGAACCCTTCTTTATATAGCTTTTCTTTTACGATCCGCTTTTTATAACTAATATATAGGCTACTAATTTCCCTTATTTAGATTATATAGTTCTTTTATAGCTTATAGATATATTTACGGATTATAATCTGTTTATTACGATTTATAAGATAACTTATAAGTATCTTATAAGCCAGTAAATTAATTTCCGGATCTTATTTAACCTGCAAATATATTTAATTCTTGAGTCGAATACTAATTATTATTATAAGAATCTCCTAATAAATAATAAGATTATAGCCCTTATTCCGGATAAATATACGGATATAAGCTACTATAATCTAGTACTTATAGTCTATAAGGCAGGCTGCAAGTATCCGCAAATATATATAGTTAATATTATATATATAGTATATATACTACTCTATTATATCTTGCTCTTCCCGTATAGTAACCCGGACTAGTATTATAGTTTATAATTATAAGACTATAATAGAATCCGTTAGTAGATATAGCTAAAATAGCAGGTCTTTTACTAGTACTATCTCTATATCCGTCTAGTCTTCTTTCTACTCTTTTATACTAGCCGCCTCTTTTAATAGTATATTATTAATATATATATTACTTATAAAACTATCTTACTTAACTAGCTTTGCTTATACTAGTAAAATATTCGTATAGATATATATATAGATCTTACGAATACTCTAATCTATAAGGATATCTATATAAGTAATATTAGCTATTACTTTATTCTTCTATTAAGTTTTATAGGTAGTAATTACTTTATATAATAGCTCTTTTAAGACTTAATAGCTATTATATAATACTTTAGTAAGCCAAGCTTCTTTATTACCTTTATAGCTAACCTATACTAGCCTGAGATTATAGATTACCTTTTAAACAGATAGTAAGTAATTAACTATCCGGATCTTCTTTACCGGATCTTTATCCTAAAAGTAAGAGAGCTTCTTATAGATCTTAAAAACTATCTTTTCGAATAGTATATAGGCTATATTTATATAATTAAGTACTAGAAGTATAGCCTTCCGTATATATATCTACTCTTATTTCTTAAAAGAAACGCCGTTTTCTTAACTTCTAATTTAGTTAATAAGATTATTTATATTAAGCTTTTAGACCTATTATAGAATTCTATAGGCAAACTTATAGCTATAGTTACTAGCCAGATATCTTATAGGCTATATAGCCTTAATAATAATCCGAAAGCCCTATATATAGTTTATAAAATATCTATAGCCCTGCTTATATATTAGAAGAGGTTCTCTAAGGCATTTGCAGCTATAATAATTATCTATAAGAATAGATATTCCGAATACCGGTACCGGAATAATGGCTATATATTTATAGTTTATAAACCAGGCTTTTTAGACTAGAAAATTATCTGTAATAACCGCTGGATTATTCTATATAATCTATATCTCCTCCAGAAGTTCCGCTTATATATTAATATTAAGGTTTATATATTTATATAAGTAATTAAATATATCTATAAGTATATTTATAAGAGAATAGACTATATAACTATTACTATCTTAGAAACGGATAATAAGATTATCTAGTACCTTTAGGCTTGATATATATGCCCTATAGAGGCTTTCTGGCATCTATTCAAGTGCCTAATATATTAGAAGTTTCCCCCGGTTTAATATCTTGTAATTCATTTTTCTAGATAATATATAGTTTGCTTTATAGCCGACCTCTTGCCCGAACAAGTTGCGGACAGGGCTGCAAATGCCCGTTTAACCTTAATAGCCTTCTTTAAATATAATATAATATATAAGAATAGCTACTAGTACCTATACTACAAGTTCCTATAGTACTTTATATAGGTTACCAAGATCCGGATATAGAAGTACTATAAGTAAAGATATAGTATTAGCTGTATTTATTACTATAGCCTAGTTTCAGGCAAGTAGTTCTATTTATAGCTTTTATTAATAGTTATATATAGTCCGTAATTCTTTAATAAGCTCTACTTAGTTAAGAGTATCCGTTATCCCATATACTATACTACCTATATTACTTGCAGCTTAATAGAAAATAATTAGAAGTAGTTCTAGTACTTTAATAAGGCCATTTTATTAATAACCGGCTATAGTTTATAGATACTCCTTCTTATAGATATCTACTAGTAGCTAATTACGGATATATAAGTAATCTGAAACCGATATAAGAAGTATTTCTGTAATAACTTGGCCCGTAAGCTAGCCTATAACCTATTAATTAACTTCCTGCTATCTTTAGTTAATTCTTACTATAATTACAGCCTCTTCTTACTCGGTTTTAGCCTTATAGATCTCTAGTAAATACTTGCAAATATTGCCCTACCTGAAAATACTTTTAACTAGACTATAAGCCACTATATAGCTAATCTATAGGTCAATTATACCTATAAGATATTACTAGTAACTATAATATAAGCCTAACTAAATATAAACTAGTACTCTTACTTTTAGATAATTATAGTAATAATTATAGATAATTTATAAACTACCCACTTTTACTTATAAGGCCCGGATAGTACTAGTAAAACGTTCCTCTATAAGACCCTCTACTACTATTACTATAGCCAAGGTAAAATAGTTCTATATATAGTATTAACGGGTATTATAGCTTTTCTTCTTCCGGATAGATATATATCTCACTTCTAGTTCCGGATTTTACTCAAGCTTAATAAGTCATCTATAAATACAATTACTAAAACAAGCCGGCTCAGGGCTCTCTTATATTCTATAGACCTGATTATCTGAAATAAGGTATCTATATAGTATAAGTACTGCTTTAAGGTAGTATACTAGCTAATAATTAATTTACGATTAGTTATAGATAATATTCTCTTTAGAGAAATATCTATAATTCTCGGAAGGAACTTTACTCAGATCTTACTAATAGTTCTATATAGTTTACAAGCCAATATAGTACGGGCCTGCTTATAGCAGATATAGATCTGGCTATAGCTCTATTAGTTATTATTATAGATTAATATACGGGTCCGTAATAATCTGTTCGAGTAGGATTTTATAAACTGGATTATTAGTCTACTATATAACCTGTCCTTAAATAAACAGATTATACTCCCGCCTTTTATTCCGTATATCTAGTTAGTTACAGATCTAATTAATTATATCTATTTATAAAAATAACTCTTATAAACCCCGTATAATTACCGGGCCTTTAGCGGACAGGTAATTCTATTAACTCTAAATAATATAGTCCGCAAGCTTAACTAAATAATTCTGGATATATTTCCTGGCCAGAAACGGATATATTTTATAATAGATTCGGCTAATATAAATAAGGCAGATTCTAAGATTACAGAATTACCTCTAGAGATCTTATAAAGTATCTATTTACTAGATCTACTTCTCTTCAAGCTATAACTTAAGATTAGTATACCTATAATACTTTTATAGAATCTCTATTTATAGAAAGGGCTTTATAACGGGTTACGGATATCGATTTATAGCTTTAAGAAATTCTTGATTCGGGTATAGCTACTAGATAGCGACTTTAACGGCCAGTTACGGACAATTTTACGGATTAAGCTCTAGTCTATAGATTAATAATTGTTTTTTATGCTTTTCCGTAAGCAGTTTCTACTTGCTTTATTCTTTATAATAACTATTAATAAGTTATAAGGCTAGTTATTTGAGGCAGTAGAAGTGGATTTATAGTTGCCGGTCTTTTCTTATAGCTAGTTCTATATAGTAGCCTTATAGATAACCTTATAAGCAGGGCTTTATATTCTTTTATTCCCTAATATAAACTATATAAGTAATATAATATATCCAGAAATATTATAAGGTCTTGCTTAGCTTTTAACTTACTTATAGATAACTTTATATACTTACGGGCTATTTTTCTTCTTATACCGTCCGTAAAGGCCTTTATTATATAATATACTTCCTTTAATTCCAAATTCACTCGGGATAAGTTTAGAGTAAAATTATTAATTGGCCCCGGAGCTTGTATAGGGCCGCCAATTAATAATTTTAGCGAAGCGGCCCTAAACTTATATATTTATTAAGTATTTTTATAAAACAAATACTAAAAAGAATAATTAGAACCAGAATTAGCTATTATAACTTTAAAGTATTTATAGTAAATTTATTTTATTATATTACTTATAAAGAAGCTATATCTTATATATTTAGTTATATTTCCGAATTAGATTAAATTACTTATTTGGATCTAAAATAAATACTATATCTATTATTAGTAGCTATTAAGAATAATTAATATAAAGAGTTAAAAACGAAATTCTAGTAATATATTATTTTACAAGTATTAAATTAGCTTAAAAAAGCTATTAATAAGCTTTTATATTACTAATCTCTTTTATTTCAATTAATTATTTTCTTTTTTAAATATAAATATATTTTTTTTATTACTATAAATAATTTACCTTATATATCTATTATTATTATAAGAAACTTTATTATTATAATACTACTTTATAATAATACTATAAATATAATAATACTATAAATATAATAGAAAATAGCTTATCTAATATTAATAAACTATCTTGAGTATTAATAAGTATAATTAAGGGTTTTTAATTAGCCCTATTTCTCGAAAACTTGGAAATATTATTTTTCTAAACTAGTTTAACTAATATTATAAAGTGGAATATAAATAGGTACTCGAATAATATTATTAAAGTTATTACTAGTATTATTACTATAAATAGCTTTACTTTCAAATTTATAAATACTAATCCAATTTCCTTATAATAAAAAGAGGTTTATATTACTACTATTATTAATTTATTTAAAACCTATAGTATAATTCCTATTTTCTTTTATAATTACTTCTTTCTAATTAATTCTATTAAGGAATTTTTCGAGATTACTAATATAATTACCTTTATTAGTATTAGTATAATTATTACTTTTACCCAAGATCTTATAATTACGGATTTACTACTTATATAATCTGTATTATTAATATTTACTATTAAGGCCCGTTAAAATACTTTCTTTTAATATCTCGAGAGGAAAATACCTAATTTAATATTATTTAATACCGGTATTAGTAATATTTGAATATATAACTTTGCTCTATTATTTATTATCCCCGAATCTTGCTATATTGAGATTCTATTACTTATACTACCTGCCCTAAATATTTTGGACCTAATTACAATTAACTTTATTAAATTATTTCTTTAAAAGTTTAAATGAAATCCGGTATAAATAACGTTTATTATAGAAACTAGTAAGAAGTTACTACTTAGCTAAATTAACTAGCTTAATATATTAGTATATATATTATTAAATATTATAGTAAAGAGAAAAGATATAGTAGCTATATTACTAGAAATAAATGGGATAGTATTTATAATAGTAATAATATAATAACTAGATAATACTAATAATCTTGCTCTTATAATACTAGTAAAACTAGTAGTTTTAATTTTATTAAAAAGAACTTGTTTTAGATATTAGTAATTTAGTACCTCTAATTTTAATTAAATAGTACTAGTTAATATAAGCAAAAATTCCCTACTAAATCTAATTAACTAAGTCGACTTTAATATAAGAATTGCTCTAAAACAAAGTAAAAAGATTTATGCCTATATAAGCTTTAGTAGGCCTCTTACTATAAGGTATTAGAAAGCGAGAGGTTTAAAGCTTAATTCTAAAGACGAAATAAATAGAATATATAATAAAACTCTTTTATAATTCTCGGCTAGCTAGAGAATAATAAAAAGTAATAATTAAATATAGTTTTCCCTAATTAAGTAATTCTCTTTTACTCTAGCTTAGTACTCGACTCTTACAAGTTATATAATATTAATAATTAATTATATTATAATTCCATTATAACTATATTCTCTATTTTACTAAAAAGTAAAGCATTTCACTTATATTAAGGCTTCTTTTTCTCTATAAGACCTGAATTAAGAGATTTGCATTTAATACGTTTTATTTTGCTTTATTACTTTATTTAATTTGAAATAGTATAAATATAGTTTATATTATATTCTCTTTATTACTATTCTCCTTCTTCTATTACCGCTCCTCTACTCTCTACTACTTTGTCCCCATTTCTATTTACTCTCTGAACTAAGTATAGCAAGAGCCGGAACTTCCATTTAGGCATTTAGCCCTTTTAATATCGAGAACATTTCCGTTAAGGCTATACCTGAAATAAATATTAGTATTATAATATTCAGTTAATTAATTCGGGATCTCATAAGACTCTATAAGATATACTGAATTATAAATACCTGGAAATTTCTTATAAAAATTATAAATAATTTTAAATAGAATATTAAATCCTATATAACTTAAATAATAAAGCGCTTTAATATCTTTAAGTATAATACTACTGCTTTCGGACCAGGATTTAATAAGGCAGTCTCTAGGGCCTGAAATAATGAAGACTAGGTCTTAAAGGCCATAGAAATCCTCTAGTTTAATAAGAGCCTTATAGACGCCATTTACTAAGTAAAATATATCTATAGCTAAAGATTGAACTTTCTGGTAATAGTAATAGAAAAAGGCTACCGTAATACGAAAGCAGAGATCCAAGGGACGTTTATATATCCAAGCCAAATATAAAGTATTATAAGAAAAATCAATATAAATAGTAGCTATATTATCGTTATTTCCTAGCTTTATATATCTCCGTAAGGCCTTGGCCCGAGCCACATAGCAAACTCGCAAGATAGTTATTAGAGTCGCTTTTATTTGCACTTCCTAGTTCGTCTATATGCCCGGAATGCTTGGTAATATATGGCCAAGGTATTTCGGCTTAACTGCAATTATTCTTGGTATAAGGGCGCTCAACCAGATTTTTGATTATATCTTAAGCGGAAGCTTCGAGAAGCTTGGAAAGAAGTCGGAGGAATTAGTATTCCCTATATTTTCGAAAGGTATTTCGATATCTAGTTATTAGCTTCACTAACTTTGGGTCCGAACCTGAGCAGGAATATACTCAAACTCACGAAGACTATAATATATCTTGGTAACTAAGTAACTTTAACTAGAGTAATCTCGACTTCCTTGATCTTAATAGTAAAGACTTGGACTATATATAGTAGCTGTTTAATAATATAACCATATTATAATTATTAGACTTTATATTAACTCCTAATACCTATTTATAGGGCGAATTTATACCGGATAATACCCTCTATAGTTTGCAGTAATAGAGAATCTATTACCTCTACCTGTACTAGCTACTTTTTGGGCATTATTATTAACTAGTTCTCTAGTTTCGAATATCTCGCCTATAATATTATATCTCTAATTACTATATATGGCTCTAATAATACCGCTAGCTATAATCTTATCCTCTACTTAACCTGAACCAAAACCACTCTATACCTGTATAATCTACTATCCAAACCGCTTATATTCTAAGCCCCAGTATCTAAAGTAAGCCTGGGATCCTAGTAAACCTCGGATAAACGTATTAATTACCCTTTTAGGCAGTACTTAAAGATATACAAAAAGCGCCTTGTATATTTATTAGCTATATATAGCAGACGCTTTGCAGAAATGAAAGATATAAGAAGGCACGTTCGGACGCACTATCTAGGGGTCTTGCCTTATGAATAATACTTCTGTCCTTAAGGTAGATGCAAGTATTCGAGTAAGGGGGTTAGAAGGAAAGATAATTTGAAACGGCATCTTAGTAAGGTATATAAGCGGATAGAGCTTTGATCCTATAATAATTTTCTAGGTATATATATAAACCTACTTGATTTATTGGTTTGCAATTTTTGGAATGGCGTTACTTGCCTTAGAACCTTGGAGAAGACACTAAAGGTAGAGATAAGAGGTAATCTATTTTAATAATTTCGTAAGGATATATCCTTCTTTATTTAGACTCCGCCTTACTAATATGGAATTATCTACTAGCTCTATATCGTATTGCTTTAGTCTTTCTATCTAAACTTTTTGAATCTTAATATCTATTATACTTCCTTTAACTCATGTTATTAATCTAGCTTTTTGGTTTGAATAATAACTATAAAAGTCGGACTCTAATCCTACCTTTACTACTTTAATTTTATATACCCACGAAATATTATAAATAAAGACGGTATATTAGTAATAAAATTATAAAAAGGTCTTAGTATAAGTATATTTAGTTTTATATCTTAACTACTAGATATGCTCCTGCTATCTCCCATAACGTAGTTCCGCCCCATATCTGAATATTATAGCTCATTACCTACTTACTCGCATCTGTCTTAAGACATACTCTGAAATTATTACTTGTACTAATATTAAACTTTATAAGAGCCGTGAAAACTGCTAGCGGCCGACGAAACCTGCTAAGGTACTTCCGCCTGCACCAAGTCCCATTAGAACTACCAGAGCATATTCCGGCTTCTATATCTTTCCTGTCTGGTGGGAAGGTGATTTATGACCCTGAACCCATATGTAACTATAGCTTAGCTCCCGAGCCCCTCCAAGAACGTATGGTTCAGTCAAAGCCACGCTTATTAATATTGGTAGCGAGTAATTGGCAACGCCAGTTATAGTGTTCCTTGATTTCAAAACCATTTAGTCCCATAAATACCTCTGGCTTAATGCGAAAGCGGGGCTAGAAGGTAATATGTCCGGTAATTTCGTTCGAGTAAATCTTTATACTCCCAAACTAGCCACACTAAAATTCGGGGTTGTCTTAGGCGACCTTGAACCACGATATCCGCATATTATAGAGTAGCCCTTTATCCTATATAGCCACTTTCAGGGTAAATTTCTCGAAATCAACTTTAACTAATGATCTGAGCCAAATAGTACTATTATCTGTACCGAGATCGATCATATTCAAAGCCACTACCATATTTGGAGCTTTGTCCGCCTTAGGTCCAATAGAAAAGAAAGCAGAGTTTAGGGAAGCTGGCTGAACAGTTTTCTAGTCATTATTCGTCTTATAGCTACTAATAGCGAAATAATAATCTCTGCTATTATTATCGGGGATATTAGGGTTCCTGTCATCTAGTTCTAAGAGCCGGAACCTTTCAAGATCGCTACTAACAGACCACTAGGCATTTACTAAATCTAGTGGCCCGTCCCGGTTTATTAAGCTAACAGACCGAGAATCCATTTGCAGGTAAACCCCCGGATATTTCACTAATTGAATGTTTACGGCATTCCGAACTATCTAGTCTATTATAATCCGAAACATCTCTAATGGCGTAATAGTAAACTGGCAGTTTACTTGGCCACCCCTACCTTATTTGACTACCTTATTCATGAATAACTAATTACCGTCCATATATAGATAGGTATTAGGAAACTTGAAAGATACAATGGCGTATTTCACTTGACCCTTTGGTTTAATTATCCCTTGGGAAGTGGACTCGAGAGGGATAAACGTGAGATCGGTATATTGGTCTAAGGAAAATCGAGCCTTGACCTCTCCTGATCCGGTACTACTATTACGTCGGGCGCCCTTTGCTATCTTGATTATCGCTTGACCCTGATTCCAGGAGCAGAGAGGCACTTTCCGCAACGGGTATTTTAACCAAGCGAGCACTAACCGTAGTTTTTTAACTGTGAGACGAACGGCAGAGTTGGTCTAATCGAGTCCAAAGACGTAAATCCTAACCACGGTCCACTAATAAAGAAGTTAACTGTTGCGGCCATCCGAATAACCAGAGATTAAGACTTACGTAGCTATTATGCCATACGTAAACTGGTGAACCACTTTGACCCTTGGTCGTATCGAGAGTATAATCGAGTAATATCTCATTTATATCGAGAAACTTGCCCCCTGGGTCCCCCATATTGTCTGGCCAAGTTTTTCGTAGGGATAGCCAAAAACCACGGCAGTTATAGCTCTTAGTTCATTGTCTGTAATAATTATACTATATCCAAATCCCTTTTACTGGAATCCCGGGAGTACTATAATGCCATAGTCGTGATTTCTATCCAAGTCCCGTTCGTAATACGGAGAGATAAAGTACTATTGGCGGTTAATAGCGTTGGTTGGCTCTTGGATAATAATAGTTTTTTCCCCAGGGAATGTGACTTCTAATCTTTCGGCATACGTTTTCGTAGGTACCCAAAGATTGTGACCAGTAGTCAAGATGCATCCTGTATCAGAACCAGGAATATTGATTAGGAAGCTGCTTCCTATATAATCTTGGTCGAATCGTATCCTGAGGTAACAGATCCATTGGTATGGCTATGATATTATAGGTTTTATTTATATCCGCTCATTGACTCCAATAATCTTTTCTCGCTGATTATCTCCTCTATTATTGGGAAAGACTAAAACGACCCCCCCCCCCCCCCCCCCCCCCGGTGTCGATTTGGGGTGTCGATGGGGGCCACACTAGCCGAAATCAGCAGGCGGTAGCAGGTGCCTGTATATATTACTTTATATATACCAATATATACAGATTAATATATATTAGTATACTAATGCACGCATTGCATTCTCTGAATGGCATCGTTATTATTATTATTATTTCCAGACAAATTTGGTTGTATCGCAATTAGTCCAAAAAAAATTAGGGTCTTATAGGCTTATAGTAATACATATTTCCTCTTAACCACTGGCAGAACCAGAGGCATTTGGTTTTAATTATTTTAAATCATTGACCCTGCTTATTCCAGACCCTATAACTTTATAATGGAGTAATTTGCCAGAAAATTCTTATTTTAATATAATAGACTACTCCCTAATTTATAATCGAATTATAATATTAGCTAGTAAGTATAACCTCTAATATTTAAATAATAATTAAGAGCCTTTTATATTATTTGATATAGTAATTTACTCTATATAATGCCCCTTTATTACCTTTAAAGTATAGAACTTATAGTATATAAAATATAGTGCCTTTATCTACTATAGGCTTAAAATATAGTAAATAGAGGCACTATATTTTTACCTCAGGATATATATATTAAGAAGTAGAAATACCTTCCCAATTTAGTTTATCTAAAGTAATATAATAATTCATAATAGGTTCCGAATATATTTCCTTTATTTATATTCCCAAAATTTAGTATATTAAGTATAAATTATATAAGTAAATAGGCGAATTTAAATATCTTATATATCTGCTCCGTAAATATAAAAGAACCTCCTTATTCTGCCTTAATCTTTCCTTCTTTTATATCTTTAAATACTATTTTACCCTTAATACAAGTATTACCAAGTCAAAATAATAATAACTAGCAAGTATATCTATTAAAGAGGGGCAAGAGGAAACACGACACATAATAGGGGATCGACTGGAAGTAACCACAAATTAAGGAGGCATTATATTAGTAAAGTGTGTATTGGGTTACTTTACGTCCCTTCTATAAGAAGGGCAAGGGCTAAATACAAAAAGGAGAGAAGAACTAAGGGATCACGTGAGAACATGTAATTATGCCAAATGTCGACCCAATCCCCACTATACTATTTGAGAATAATTCCTTAAATTAATCCCAATCTTAGCTTTAGCTAAGCTTTGCTTTAGGGTCAAGTTCAAGTTCCTGCAAACTATATTGGCTTAAGCCCCCAGCTACTATAAATCTGGTAGTAACTAGCTATTCTGGCTTATACTTATAGTATTTAAGCTTAAGGATATACTTATTATATTACCTATCGAGTTAAGTACTTTACTAATACTATTCTCTGCCTTATTCGCAATAGTAATAATATTCCTCTCTTTAATAAATACACTAATTATATATACTCTAACTTACCTGCTTTCTAGTATAAAGCCACTATTATTAATTCACTTAACCCTGGCCCTTCTTCTTAGCCTCTTCCTATACTACTAGTACCTGCTATAGTTACCCCGATTCGCCCTTTTCCGCAATTACTTAGATTAGAATCTTAACCTTTGCCTCCTTCCTAATAACCTCAGTTTTAGCCTGCTCTATCTTTATCTATTTAATAGCAAACTTCTCCGGCTAGCTTCTTATAAATACTTCTCCTTAACAAGATACGGATCCCTTTACTTCTCTACTTTAGGACATTTAATAATAATCTGGTCCTATTATAGGTTTACTCCTGGTTTCGAGAGAAAAAGAATTAGTCTCTCTATCTAATAATAGAATACCTAACTTCTATATAAATACGGATTTAAAGAGTTCTATAGCTTTTAATAAATTAGGTAATATATTACTTAATTCCATATCCCTTCTACTATATACTAGACCGCTATTAAGTCATCTTAGCTAATAACCCCCTATTTCTTCTAGATATCCCCTAATATCTCGGAATTCTCCCTATAATAGCTTTTCTCCCTTAATATCCGGCTTAATAACCTTCTTTAGGTTTTTAGTAAAGTCTACCCTATTACCAGAATTCAGCTCCTTGCCTTAATACTCTATATCAGGCAGCCACTTATAGTAAAGTAGTTACTATTAAGGATATTTATAACTAAAAGAATTAGAAACCTATATTAGAACTCCTTTAAAGTATTAGCTACTTGAATTATTATATAAGGAAGTTAGTATAGTAATTGAGTATAATAAATGCTTTAGTTTAAGGGTTTTAGTATTATTAGAGAGATTTACTAAACTACAAGTATTAGTTCTATATTAAGGTTAGAATAATCTTAAAACAGAAGAATAAGTATAATAGTAATAGAAGTATACTAAAAGCAGCTATAGATATATTTATACTTGCAAATTTCAGGCCACTCTTTAGTATATCTATTTCTTAATAATAAAGAGAAATATAGTAAAGAGATATATATATATAATAGAATATTTATAAATTTCAAGGAAATATATAAGATAGTTTAATTAATATAATAGTTTACTTTATATTTTAGTATAACTATATACTAAAAAGAATTAATTTTAGACCGAATCTAATTCTATTAAATATATAAATCTTTACTAATTTAGTAAACCTCTGAAATATAACTTACTTCTTTTATTTTTACTTCAAACTATAATAGAAATATATAGTAGATTTCTATTATATTTTGCTCCTATATTTTAGTAAAGAAATAGCAGATCCTAGTACTTCTTTTATTCTTACTTTAAACTATAATAGAAAGATATAATAGATATCTATTATATTTTGCCCTTATATTTTAGTAAAAAGATAATAGATTCTAGTTATAATAGCGGAATTAATATACTAGTTAAAGGCTTAAAGTTTAATAAATTTCATATATTAAAAATACTAAGCCAGAAAGTAAAGAAAAGAGAAATGCTTTAATTTCTTAGTATTATCTTATCTAAATATTCCGGCTTAGCTTTATTTTATATCTATTTCCGATTTTCTATTTCTGGCAAATTATATTATTATACTAGCTATTATATTAGTACTAATAAATCTGCTTTAAACTATAGTAAGAAGATATAGTAAATATTTACTATATTTTGCTCCAATATTTTAGTAAAGAAGTAATAGATCTAATTATCTTTAAAATAAAGATTTTATCTTTATTTAAAAAAGATATTATATTTATATTATTAAATTATAGGCATTTATATATAAATATATTATAAATAAAACTAGCTATACTAAAACCTATATTATATTTATATATAAGAATACTAATTACTTTAACTTAATAGCAGATTTATATAATTATATAACTTTATATAATTGGCTAGCCGTAAAAAAGCCCCAAAGCCGGAAACTTATAAAGAGTCTTAAAGGCTTTAGGGCATCCGGACTATTACTAGTATCCGGTACTTTTTAGGGAAAGAGTATAATATATTCTATAACAGGCAATCTATTATAAACTACTTAATTTTTAAGTTAAGCGGGAAATCTGAGGGCTGGGCTTGTAATTCAAGTCTTATTAAGGTTATTAAAGTTTTTACTAGCTAGTACTATAGATTTTATTACGGGAATTCTATAGGTTCTATTCCAATTTATTCAGGCAGATATATATAGTATATCTCTTTATTTATTCCGATATTTACATGCAATTTCTGAGAGCCGAACTATTACTTAAGAGGAGAATAAGAAGGCTAGACTAATATCTTTAAAAACCAAGGCCTTAATAAGCCTATCTAGAAAAGCATACTAATTTTTCTAAAAATAATTCAAGCTCTAATAGGCCGGAAAATTTTGAGTTTATTATATATTATAACTTATATAACCAGGAATAGGAACTTGAATTCGTTATATAAAATTAATTATATATAGAGACTTCTGCTATAAACTCCTTATTTGAATTAATTAGTTAAATCTATTTTTTAATACTAAGTCTTTATTAGGGTAACTTCTTACTTCTAGAAAATTTAGACAAAGTAGCTAATAAGTTTCTTAGCTATTAGCCAAAACTTATTAGCTAGAAAATCTTATAAGTAATAGACAAAATTATAAAGCAGAACTTTTCTAACTATAATACTAATATATTTTATTACTTTATAAGGTAATTAGATATAGAAGCCTTATTAAATATAATATATCTCGAGCTATAAGTAATATCTTATAAGATATAGGAAAAGTCTTAGTATTTAACTAGTATTATAATCTAGCCCAAAAGCACTTATTATTCTTTATATCTAATTTAATAGAAATAAAAAGTATTTATACTTTAACTCGAGAGATAATTAGGACTTTTATATAGACTTAGGGCAGTAATTTGCTTTATAGAGAGAGAATAGACCAGGTTACCTATACTATATTAATTTTTGGAAGAGTTTATAATAAATATTATAGCTCCTGAAATATTTTCAAAAAAGCTCTTCTAAACTAAAATAGGCTAGTTTATAATCCCGAAAGATTTATAGAAGTCTTATATACCCGAGAATACAAGTATTTAAGATAAATACTATTTAAGTTCTAATCTATAATAAAAGAAAAGTA